TGGTTGAGTAGTCGCTAATAATACTCATATCTACTTTCATACTGCTAAACAATTGAATAGCTAAGAAAGAATTGAGAAAGAAGCTTAGTGTTGCCTGTGTCACCGTTGTAGAAAAGTTGTCTATAATAAAATAAAAATTATTGTTCTTTTTGATCTGCATTCTGATTCTTGTAGGTATATACTAAACTCCACGTCTTTTCCTAACAAAGCGTTTACCTTTGAATTAAAGAAAGTGCCAGTTTCTTATTTCCTTTTGAAAAGCGATATACTAGGAAAAAAAAGCTGACGCTCTATCAACTATTTGCTGCTTTCTAGATGTTTGTTTTTTAAACTTAAAATATAGTTTGCCAGCGCTGTGTTTGAGCTGAAATTACCTTCAGCGCAAGAAATCTCTTTAGATTCTACAAACTTTTATATCTGTTTCTAATTATTAGTTTGTAAACTAGGTTTAGTACAAAAAAATTAACAAAACTGTTGATCAAGCGTTTTTTCAAAACGAACCACGTCACGAGCACCTTTTTAGTTTGTTTATTTTAAGTTTAAGGAGGAAATCAAAGCAGTTGAGGTACCTTAAAATTGATTTTGCAAAAAGCATTCTTCTAGTCAACATTTATAGGCAAAAGAGGGAGTTTTTATATTCCAAGAACTTGAGAAGAAATGCTCGATCAGTATTGCGGCAACTGATTACAAATCTGTTTAACGTAAGCATATTGTTTTTATAATAGAAGTGACGACTGCTGATGTTAGTAAAAATTCTGTGTCTGGCAAAAGTAGAGAAAAATTTTATTGTAACTGAAATGCGTTAATAAATGCTGGTTTTAAATAAATTTCTGTAGACTGCAATGAAACCACTTTAGACTCGACCAATTCAACTTTCGTCTTTTTAAAAAGTCTTTCGCTTAAGCGTTATTTCCTTTAGTCTTTTAATTCCTCAAAGTTGATTTATTTAAATAAAAAAAATCGTGTAGCGCCATTTCTTACGTTGGTTTTTCTTCACTGTACCTTCAAATCGCAAACATATGAAGTAATCTTATCGGTCAGTACACGAAAGAACTAGTAACTGCTCGAGCATAAATTATCGACTAATTACCTCGTCCACATCTCTGGCGTCGATCTCAGCTCCTTTCTGCAGTAAGCATTCCACAATTTCCAAATAACCTTTAGAAGAAGCGAGGTGCAATGGTGTCTGCTAGAAGGAATAAAGGCAATTTTAAAGCACGAATAATATAAACTTATAAATGTAATAGACACTCTCTTTCTTGTACTGAAAACGGATTTTAGACAGAGTCACTGCTTTGGTCAATTCTTCAGTAAATTCTCTAGTAAAATGCAACTGAATCAGTTCCTCAAGTCTCATATACTAATCAAATTTTTTAAGATCAACATGCTCTTAATAACTTTCTTAAATTCAATAGTTATTTTCTCTCTCCGCTCATTAAATTTTACCTTACGCTCATTCATCTCGTTAACATCAGACCCTGTGTGCAAGCAATATCTTACAGTATTTATGTCTCCATTCCGCGCTGCAGTACATAAACTTGTTCCCTAAAACGTTGTATGTAACAGCATTTCAAAAGAGGGGGGAAATGTGTTTAAATTGACGTGTAAGGTAATGTGACTCTTAATTTTACTGTTACGTTTGTCATAAAATGATCTGACGACATTAATGCATTTAGTCAAAAATGTTGTGCATAATGATGTCGTTGTTAAGGAAAAAGCAAAAAACAGTTTTGTGATTGATGCTCATTGTATGACTGCGCCTTATAAAGTCGGCAAGCAATAAAAAAAAATTTTGCTTGTTTTTTAAAAAGACTTACTCTAAAGTCATTATTTAGTCTTGAAACGACCTGTCGTCGCACTGGAGCTCTTTCTTCACGTTTACGCGGTAAGTTGCACGACCTTTCTTGCTGCAAGGAAATCATATGAAAAAGTGAAATACTAACAGATTGCCTAATTTGACAAACGCGACCAACATCTTTCACCTATAAGTAGTATAAAACATTGGCAAAAAAGAGCTTACAGCGAGGCTTTCCGCCGTTTGGTATGCATTATGAACATTGTACCCAGGAATAGCTATAAGGTCATTCACAATTCCCTATAATGCATAGGTGAATAAAGATAAGTGAATTTTGGCTTTTTGTATTGGCCTTTCAAACTTTTTGCTGCACTTCGCCAGAAAACCTACTGCTAACTGGTACAATGAACAGTTCCTTCAATGAAAAATAGTAGATTAAAAAAACATATAGAGTTTTTGGTCTTATGAACTCAAAATATGTTTGATATTTTTGACTTTGAAGAAGCATTCATTTGCTTAAAATGACTTAATCAATTGATGGTGCAGATTTCTGAAGAAGAGTATCGCAGCTGTGAAAATTCTAACTCAAGCTGAAACTCGTTGTTGCACTTTGCTGCTTATGGAATAAGAAGAAGACGTGCGATAAATTGTACCGCCAAAAGCTTGTTATTGTTAAGGCACGGTCTTAAAACGCATGTTTTTTGGAACCCTGATATACGATTCTCAACGCGTTAAATTTCATTACCTATCTTCGTGTTGCTCTAGCTATGCAGATATTTAATTATTTATGTTACGATTGGAAAATAGACCACTTTGCAAAAAATTTCAGTAATTATATTCCCCGCAAAAAAGTTGGAAGAAAGGAGAAAACAGAATTCAGTAGTTCTTTGAATATCTGTTGTCTTATTTATTAATTTGTCTAAGAAACAAATATAAAATTTGTAACATAAGTAAGGTAGAAAGAGAATAAGCAAAAGTACTCTTTGAATTATTCTTTCTTTAAAATAGTACGTCTCTAAAGAAGCAGTTTTCAAACAAGTCATTTAGGTAGCAAGTTGCGTTTGAACTAAGTTTTTTTGTCACATTTTAGAAAGAAAATAATTGAGATTAATGCACAAAGTATAAAATTCATTACAACATAATTAATGCCACTGTATTAATCTGATCCCTCAAATCGATAAATTTTGATATTACGTATGCATGTGTAGTAAATAAAGCTTTCCGTTGATAATTACTGCGCTAAAAGCCCTATTATCTGATCTAGCATGGAAAACTGTGTTTATCAGGTATTTCCTGCACGCTATATTGAATAAAAATTCAGTAATAATAGTCAGTAACATACACGGTTGAATGAATCGGGAAATGTATACGCTAGCACATTCGACTCCCAGTAGTCCATACCCTAAAAGTTTTACAAAAAATGTCGTTGATGAGTGAACTAAAAGTTGCTTTAAAATTTCTACTGCATTTTTTCTATTCTCTTTTCTGACAATTTCTTAATACACAAAAACAGTGAAAATATTTTTTTTACTGAATAAAACCGTCAGTTTTTTCATAAGCCACTCTTAGTTGTGCTTTACTCTTTTAATTATTTAAACTAACTGTACTTTTCCTTTTTTTTTTTTTAATGAGAACTAACATTGATAAAGTTTTACAAACCTGATCAAAAGAATTATCAGACATTTCATCTGAGTCTTCATTCGCCCATCTATTTATTACCTAGAAACTCCTTTGTTGAGCTTAATAAAGCTGTCACTTTTAAAGCAAGTTTTAATGATTATAAACGTTAATAACTTAAAGTTGCATAAGGTAGTTTCAACCTTGAAGCTTTATTAGCTCTGTAAATTGCAATTTTCATATACTCATTTTTCATGCTTACGGCTTGGTAAAAGATGGTAGAAAAGATTTTTGCAGTTGATGAATCAAAATGGCAAAAAAAAAAACAAACAGGTGGTGTTGGTTGCGACGATCCAATGCCCATACCGCTTCTTTTGTCACTGAAAGAAGTCTCACATCATAATATGTTATCAAAAATTTCATGTCAACATTTCTGCATTTTTGAATTATATCACTCGTGCATAATCACTGAATAATTCAGTAATACTGATTTGAGCTGCCAGAGAAAAACGTTTTTATTTTACTCATGTAATTTTTTATCAGTCACTTTACAGAAGTGCTGTTGTGGGAGCATTGTCAAAAAATAGTTAAACTTTTGTCCTGGAAGTTTTAAATAATCAGAAAGTTCTCATGCTTTTAAAGCTTTATCCGGCTATGTTGGAAGAGAAAATTGAAACCTGAGCAAAGTTTCCAGATGTAAAAGCGATGAGTAATGTTCAAAAACAATTTCCTTTCTGATGCCTCTGCAGAATAGCAAAGAGATCGTGATAAGGCACGTTTATAAACAGGCGCGTGAGATTCAACAAAGACGCTTTGCGTTTTTCGACGCAGGTCCACAGTCAGTCAGATAAGTAATAACATGAAAACGTTCCATTTCAAATGACTGCCTCTTATTAATTGCTAACTGCACAAACTGTTTCAAGATAATTAGCGATAGAATGCTACGTTTAGGTAGCTGGGAAAATAGTATTAAAAAATGACACAACTAAATTAATTTTGCAAAGTTAGAAATCAAAAAAGTTAAGAAATGAAAATTACAGAATATAAATTTTTTTCCTCGTTTTATAGAAAACTAATATCGTTAGCTTCGTTCTGTTTATAAGAACAACTTTCAATAGGCAAGCTTAGGCGGAGATTCTCAAGGAATCAATTCAATTCTTTAGTAATTGTGTACTATAAGATTGTGACTGCATATTATTTTTTGCTAACAGTAAAGAAAGATCATCAACGCTAATGCAAAACACACCGAAAAAATGTTTGAAAATTGTTCGAGGTATAGTGCTATAGCTGGCAAATGAGATTTAAAGACTTGAATAATTAAGAACAAAACTTCCTCTAGAAGGTTTCCAACTTTTTTTTTGCATGATTCTGTGCTCTGCTCGTAGAATTGTCAATTGTAATCAGTTTGTTGATCTCTGCCATACAAAAAATCTTTAATGAGTCTTCATAATTTACTTTTGCCAATACGAGCATAGATACAAAAGCTTAAAAGTACTTGGAAAGTTTGAAATAGACTCGCTTTATGGTGCTGTTATCAATGAATCTGCATTGAGCTACCCTAGACAAGCAGTAGCTGAGAAGTTTTACATTTACAAAAGAAAAACAAAAAATGATTTTGAAAAATCTTTTATAAAGAACAATTAGTATTTTTTAAACTGCTATTAAAAAGCACTGATCACCGCTAAGAAAAAAAGAGGAAAAACTTGTTACCTGTCAGTTGCAGTGTGATTTAAAACTTTTCTATATACGTTCAAAAAGTATCAGATGTGCTGAAAAAGATGTCAGTGTACCAAAAGTTTTCTTTTTGTGCCCAAAACAGAAATGTCATTAGCTCATATGTTGCAGAGGTAAACAACCTTGAGTAAATTAATAGTTCCAGAATTGTTTAGAATCGTATTTCTCAGCATAAAAAACTTTCATTCTTTACCTTTTTCCTTTTTTTATTTTTTTTTGTGAGTTAGTCTGTTATGTCGCGCTAGGTTCAGCTTAACCAATACACTGTAATTTGTCGCTTCAAAGTATAAGAAAAGAATTTTGAAATATTTACCATGTACTGATACGTACAAAGCATTCTCATGCACTACCAATGCACTTGTCAACTCCAGCAATCTTCTTGACATTTCTTTTTAATCTACAATTACTGTTACGTCTGTCTAGCTCAGTGATAACAGGAATCGTTAAATAAACCTTCAGACGTAGTTTTATGTTCTAGTGTCCAAAAAGGTTTATTTGAAGAGCTGAAAAAATATATACATTGTAAAATAAAAAGCAGAATAATAAGATAACTAAAAACTCTGGTTTATGCAACAAATGTTTTAAAAATTTGGTATTTGAGAATGACGTGTGTATGACTGCAAAAACTCCAAATACGCTTAACGTTCTTCAAAAAAAAGCTGTAAAGATCCATTTATGAATTACCGTGAGTATCAACATAGAAGAAAAAGTTTTGTGCCTAGGTAACTTGGTACTTCAAAATTGTTTACCATCTGGTACACGGCAGTTACATATATTAAGAACAGAGAAGAGGTCTTGCCAAGTAACAGTTTGTGTTATACTGATAATTTCTATACAGCTAAGCACACGAAATTTTCTGTATCAGACTAAGGGAAAAACTGAAACCTGAGTAAACTGTAAAGGCGTATTTAAAACTACTTTTGGTTTGCCTAATGAGCAAGCCATACTATAGAAATCTTTTCAACTGTTTCTTGTTCTTAATCGTTTTGCTATAGAATCTATAGCACCACTTTAATTTTGCGGCCTAATGTGTTGCAACAAATTTAACAAGTAGAAATTAACGAATCACACAGCGCTTAAGTGCAACTTGGTGAGAAAAAAATTATTCGCGAATAATCGACAGGTGCAAAAACATGGAGAACTATTTGCAGAAGGCTTATAAAAAGCAAAGCTAATATAAACCCCACAACAATGTGAAATTTCCTAAATCATAAAGTATTAAAAGAAATTAAAAAATGTCAACAAAAGCATAAACTTGTAAAATTGTCACGAATTACAGGTGAGTAACAAAAATACAATAGCTTCTAGTTTTTTATTATATTCATTATTGCTTTATACACATAATTATAAAAGGTTGCAAAATTGCATTTTTAAAGAAAAGAAGTTGAGAGCCGCAGAAGCGCACATTGTACAACATGAAAATGAAGTATCAAAATGAGAAATCTGAATGAGTAGTAACATACAAGTTTCTGTTTCCAAAAAAAGTGATAAAGTTCAATAAACTTATTAAGTCTAGGCACACATCAGTCTCAATTCAAAAAAAAGCAGGAAAAGACTAGTCTGTTACAAGCATGTTTTACAACAAGTCATCTGTTTCGACGATTTTGTTGTTCTATTGCGATGGTGTTGCTAAATGATATAAACGATTGGTTTCTGATGCAGTTACATTTTTCTTTGTTCTAGATGAATATAGAATATAATTTTTTTCTCTTTTAGTCTTCATTATACTAGAGCTTCGATTGAATGTATATTTTCTAGATTTGTTATTGTTAATTTTAACAAAATTAGTTTATTTTTGCCTTTAATAGTTTTTTGTCGCAGCACAGATAGCTGTTGCACAGTTATCTACTACGCCAGTCAACATTTATTCATAAACAACGCGAATTATTACATTTACGCTTCTATCTAATTTAGCTTATTTCCAGTTGGATTTATAGTGCGAAACGCTTCGAGAGAAATAAAAAGTAGAAGAGTCACATAACCCTAGTGCTTTCATTTATGACTAATCGCTCAAAAATATATCGCTATCACCTTAGACTTCATCACTATAAAGTGCTACATTCACAAGTGACGCACGCGGCTAAGCAAAAATTTCAAATAAAAAACCGTGAAATTATCACAGCAAATAATGACAAAAAAAACCAAATTTTTCATTATCAACAGCAGTTTATTCTAGTATTATCAGTTTATTGGACTCGAGCACCTTTTTCTTCGAGATATTCTACGACTTCTTCGTGTTTGTTGACCATTGCAATACGACATGGAGTAATCTAAAATTAATTCAATCATTTCTTTTATTCTGTATAAAATCTTGCTTGTTGAGAGGATTTGGATGAAGAAGCTGATATGTGAAACTTTATTTATGCTTTCTTTTTTTGCAAAAACTAGTTACCAACTTTCTGTCAATAATTTATCGAATAAGTTTCTTGCATAAAAGTATTTGGGAAATATGCAAGCAAACGCTTTGCAAAACAATTCTAAAAATATGAATTGGCACTGTTTTACCAATTTTGTTCTGTATATCACTGTTGCTCGTTTTTTTTTTTTCACACATAATTATTTCCCACTTAGTCATGGTTCACCATCATCGTTTTAATATAAAAACGCATAGGTGAGTTAAATGTTTTATCGGAGACAGGAAATCACCTTCACATAGTAAAAATCACTTTTCACTTAAAGTCTCAGTAGAATAGAAGTGTGCAATGTTTCACCCGTCATTCTTCTCGTGGACGTTTCTATCTAAGGAAATATTTTGCAATTTAAGATGCTGTTACAGACTTGCCTGATAGAGAATGTAATGGTTAGTCGTCTACAAGCTTAAAAGAGTTACTATCTCTTGCACACCTCGTAATACGCTGATTGAATAACAACTGTTCCATTACATGAAGAAGCATGTGTCAGTTAACTCCTTGCTCAGCTGTACTTCATTTTCAAATCTAGTTTTTCACCTTTTTTGTCTGCTCGTTATCAAATATAACAGATAATGGATTTGCAAACGTCAGCGTGTTACGAATGTAACAAGTGGTGAAAAACTTTTTTACAGGTATA